TAAATTTCAAAACAATTTGTCGCATATGTCCTATTACAAATCATTTTTATAAATTTCAAAACAATTTGTCGCATATGTCCTATTACAATTTATTTTTATAAATTTCAAAACAATTTGCCCAAAATATAATAGTATAATTCATTTTTATAAACGCCATTACGCCTAGTTTGTATCAATAATCACGCTTTCGGTTAATAAACCATTGTATCTATATATGAAAAGGAACACGCTGAATCATGTTATGTGTCTGTGCAGGCAAACTGTAAACTGAAGTATTTCACTTAATACTTTAATATGAACACATTCATTGCTATATAGCAGAGGCGCACATATATGACCGTTTGCGGCCAACTAGCGATGTATGCATTTAATAGTTTAATACTATATTTACAACACTAGTATTTTATGAATAAGAAATGAAACATAAAGATTAGTAATAATTTCTAAAATTTACACTAGTTTTTATTACTCATAACTAGTTATAATTTTTGATTAAACACTGTGTCAATGTTATTAACATAGATTATTTTTATTAAGTGTTTAATAATCATTTGAATATTATTTTTATGCTTAACAAATATTCACATTTTAATCCAAATTGAAAATTATTTTTTAAATAAAAAGTTATACATTTATTAAACAGTATACTAGTGTTGTAGATAATTATTAAGTTTATTAATATTATGCAACACTATTTAGTGGTTTTTAAAAATTCTGGACGGGCCTGCTTTATAGTATAATGTAAAATACGTTAGTGTACAGTTTGCTTGCACAGCCACATGACATGATTCAGCGTGTTCCTATTCATATAATACTGTATAATAATGTACAGTTTGTAGACAACAGTATTATAAAGGCACTATAACTGCACCAAGGTTTAGTTCAATTTAAGGCTGTTTTGATGTGTTTTGAAGTTGCACTTATTATGCACTCGTTTTGAAAGTTTTTATATAAAATGCAACAGCGTTATTACATTTAAAATACTTCATACAAATTATTTTTAAAACTTTAATTTAAAAAGTAGTTCTAAAATTTGTCAGGTGCAATTGCAACGTGTTTATTATTAAGTTATAAACGGTGTTGGCAATTATAAAATATATAATCACTTGTTTAAAACAAACCCTGTGTGTAAACGTATGATAATGACTACTTTTATAGAAAAATTTGGAATTAACCTGGCCATCATTAAAGAGCTAGCACAGAATTTGCTCGGATTGAGAAATAAGTATGAGGGTAATACACGACTGGATGGACAGGTAGTGGTAATAACTGGCGCTAATCGGGGTATCGGCAAAGAGACTGCATATCAACTATCACTTCGTGGAGCAAAGGTATGAATATATTATTGAATTGATTATAAAGAGGATTACATTAATAGACAAATGTTTTGATTTATTTTCACAGATAATCATTGGCTGTAGGGATGAGTTGAGGGCAGAGAATGCCATCAAAGAGATTGTGTCGAGGAATCCAAACGCAAACATAATTCACATTAAACTCGATTTGTCTTCTCTTCAGTCGATTCGGGCATTCGTTCAACAAAT